TCTTTCTTTCTTTCTTTCTTTCTTTCTTTCTTTCTTTCTTTCTTTCTCTCTTTCCCTCTCTCTCTCTCTGTCTTGCTTGCTTTCTTTCTATCAGGATTAAGTGACTTGCCCAGGGTCACACTGCTAGTAAGTATCTGAGGCCAGATTTGAACTCCGGTCCTCCTGAGTCCAGGGCCAGTGTCCTATTCTCTGGGTCCCCTAGCTGCCCCCTCAATTCTCTTTCCATGACACCACACTACTTCTCTATAAACAGTTCTGTCTGGGTTAGTCATCAAGTTATCTGTGACGATCTATCTAACTTATGTCCTCCTGCAGGGTCCCACTCCCAACCCCAGGGATTGCTGGAGCACAAGGGAGAAGCATTCATAACATTTTACGTTTTCTACCATTCTCCTTCCACTGCCATAAGAACCAGTCTTTCATCCCCTTGCCTTAGCAGTCTACCTTATATTTTCTGCCCAATCAGCCTTTCTGATAAGCAGATATCATCACATCATTCATGGCCCAGTGGAAAGAATGCTAGACTTGGAAGCAGGAAGACCTTGGTTCACATTTTATTAGTTATGTGACAACTGACAAGTCATTTAACCTGAACCTCAGTTTCTTCATCTGTAAATCTGGAGTCAAGACACCTTCAGTGTTCTCACAGGGTCACTATGAGATTCAAATGAGATAACGTTTGTTAAATACTTTGCAAGCTTTAAAGAATGTCAGTTACTATTATTACTGATTATTAAATTAATCAATCACCATTTAATTAATTATTATTAATCATTGATCAATAACCTTAAATGGCTCCCCTTTGCCTAGGAAATAAAGAAAAAAACTCAACCTAGAATTGAAAGCACTGGGCAACCTAACTTTCTAGCCTTAAATTTGCTTATTTCAGGCTAATCTCATTCCTTTTAGCCCTAGACTACAACGTCAGCCAAACAGGCCTCTCCACATTTAGTCTCTCCAGTCAATCCTCCACATAGCTGGGCTCGGAACATGTCACTCCCAAGCTCAAGAAGCTGAGGTGGTTCTCTGTGTCTCCAGAATAAAATACAAACTTCTTTGTTTAGTGTTTAAATCCCTTAACTATCTGGCTCTCTACTATCTTAACAAGCTGATTATTTCTTACTTTTCCCACCTGAATTTTACTACTCCCCTCAAACTGCCCTATTTGCTGCTCCCCTCCCCATCTCCTCACACCCAAGTCCATCCAACATTCTATCTCCCTTTGGGTCTTTGCACAAGCTTTTACCCACATCTGGAACAGTCACCCTACTCATGTCCACCTCTTAGAATCTCAGGATCTCTTCAAAGCTCAAGTGCCAGCTCCTACAAAAGGCTTTTCCTGACCAATGCCCCGCTTCCCCATCACCATAAGACTTGTTCTACCCAAAATTATGAAATACATTTTTTGTACATATTTTGCTTTATATATCCATATACGTGTTTTCTCCTGCAGTAAAACTGTAGGCTCTTTGAGGGGCAAGGACAGTTTCACTTCTGTCTTTGTCTCCCACACTCCTACCATAGCACATGGTAAGTCCCCATTAAATGCTTGTTAAATTGAATTGTAAAATAAAAGCAAAACGAAAGAGATTGCTTTCTGTTTCGAAAACACCATCATTGTCTTTCTTCTTTCTTTCTCAAACTCATTAAATTTTGGTAATTCTATTTTTGTTTAAAATCAGGAAAAATAGCCTTAATGTCCTAAAAGGAAGATAAAAAAGAACAACTTCAATTTTAACTTGAAATTTTGGTTAAAGCACACACACACACACACACACACACACACACACACACACACGCACACACACACCCCATGACACTTAGCAACATATAAATTCAATGTAAGAAGATAAGAAAAAGCAAAGAGGCCAGGTGTGATGGGGCACAGGTCTAGTTCCTGTGGCAGGAGAGGCTGAGCCTGGGGTTGGTAGATCCCTTGAGCACTAGATTTCTGAGCTACAATAAGACAAAAACCAATCCATCAGGTGTCCTCATCAAGCATCAATATGGCTCACCCTTGGGAGGAGAGGGCCTCCAGGCTGCTTAAGGAGGAGTTAGCCAGTCCAGTCTGGGAAAACAGAGCAGGTTAAAGCTTCCATGATGATCAGTCTTGGGGTCAGGTGACCATGAGGGTCCACTATACTTCCAACCTGGTGAGATAGATGGGTGATGCTGGTGAAACAATTGTTTTCAGTTGCTCAACAGCTTGTAAGAATGGATCCAGTACTGGTATTGAAGCCAGAAAGATCTAGGTTTAAAAGCAGCTTCTAACACTAAATAGCTTATTATATGCCAGGCACTGTGTTAAGCATTTAACAATGATCTCATTTGGTCTTTAGGGAGGTAGGTATTATCCCCATTTTACAGATGAGGAAACTGAGGCAAAAGGGGTTAAGTGACCTTGGGCAAGTCACCTAACACCCGTGCCTCAGGCAATTCTTCAAGATTAATCTTCTAAAGCTTGTGTCAAACTGGGCATTTGTCTAGGGAGTGCCCACACTTTGAGTTCCCGATGCTGATGAAACCCCGGCCTCTTAGTGTGTTGGTACATGGCTAATCACAGCTTACATCTGAATGCTGCAACTGCCAGTTCCCCTTTTCCTACTTTCATGGAAGTAAACTAAACTCTACTACCACAGAGATGTTCAGTAGTAACATGCTGATGAAATATGGTGGAGAGACTAATGGAATCATATAACAGTGATATAAAATATCTTGTTTTGGAGCCGAGATACCATCATGTTACAACATTCATTACACATTTATATAGCACAGAGAAGCCTGGATATATTGCAGCATCTCAGATAGAAGTAGGTTTTAAACAAGAAAAAGATGGCAAAACATTTATATAATCTTAACTGTCAAAATAGCATCCTATCAATCAATGAATCGATCAAGAAACGTTTGTTAAGTACATGTACTAGGTACTAGAAATAAAAAAGGAAAAGATAAAACAATCCCTGCCCTCAAAAAACTTAGATTCTTTTGGTGGGAAACAATGTGTGTATGTATACATACATATATAAACATATATATGTGTATACTATATAAATATATGCAAAAATATGTAACAAAAGGGGGTAGGAGTGATTTACAGTGGAAATCAGGGAGGCACCAGCAGCTGGGGAATAGGAAAAATTTATGGTGGCATTTGACTTGAGCTTTAAAGAGAGCTAGGAGGGAGAAGTAAAGAGGGTATATCCAGGCATGGGATCCTTCCAGCCTTTCTAAAAGCATGAGGATGGAAGCTGGGATGTCTTGGGTTGAGGAACAGAATGAAGGCCAGTTTGGCTAGCAAATAATTCCACTAGAAGGTACTTTTCTCTTCAAAATAAAAGAATTAAGAAGATGGAAATGTCTTATCAAATCCAAGTAAAATTTTTGGCTTAAAACCATAGCATTTTTGTATTAAAATCCATTTCTGAACAGATTTTCAGGACAAAGGAATGACTGGGATGAAAAGAATATGCATTCACCGTGGATATTGCCAAGTTGAACGTGGGCTGTACCAACAAACATTTTATTTTAAAATGTCTGACTTGAATAGACACTACCAGTCCTTTATTCACAAAGAATCCTTTCAGTGCTACCAAAGCCAACTACTTAGGTTAAGGCATTGTGCATTTCTCTTTAAGAACCATTTGTCCAGTCCAATTCCACCAAATCAGTCCAATCAGTCAATCAAGTAGCATTTATTAAGTACTTAACAATGTTCCAGAAACTGTGCCAAGTGCTGAAAATACAAAGAAAGGCAAAAAAACAAGAACAAAAAACCCCAGTCCCTGGTCTCAAAGAATTCCCAGTCTAATGAGGGAGACACCATGCAAACAAGTATGAACAAACAAGATGTAGACGGGATAAACTGGGGACAGTGTCAGTGGAAGGCACTAAGATTAAGCAGGATTGGGAAAGATTTCCTGCAGTAAGTGAGAATTTAGATTAGACTTGAAAGATGTCAGAAAAACTTAGATGACGAGTGAGAACATTCCAGGCATCAAAGATAGCCAATAAGAATGCCTGGAGAATAAATTTAACTCATTACATTGTATGATAGAAAACGCCATTTCATACCCCAAGTCGTTCAAACATTTATTCACTCATTCAACAAGCCCTTAACATTAGAAGACTCAAGAGTGTTACTTCACACACACACACACACACACAAACTCACAAAATTATAATTTAACTTCAAAACAAAATTTTCATCCTACTATCTCTTTTGTCTTTACTTCATGGATTAAAATAATAACACACTGCATCAATTGATTCAGCTTGGTTCCTCAAGATATTTTAAATCTGATTCTTCTAACATAAACATCTACCTCATGCCAGCTACTTACTACACTAGGAGCAAGAGATGAAAAAAAATAATAATGAAATAGTTCCTTTCCTCAAGGAACTTCCATTTTAATGAGGGAAATATATAATTGGATAAATAAATGCAAGCAAATATGAAGTTATTTTGTAGGATAGAATACTAACACCTGGGGAGATTGACAAGTTAGACTTCATGTACTGTAGGTAGGAAGTAGCACTCAAGGTGAATCCTGAAAAAACCTAGTGACAGATAGTAGATAATTTGGAATATGTGAGGGAGAAACTCCAAAAAAGTAGAGGCTCTGCAAAATAAGATTTTGGATCAAAAATTTTAGAAGATTTTGATCAAAAAGTATACATGTGGGGTTTGACATAACACAATTAAAAAAACTTAATAAAATTGGAAGAACATATGATTTAATTATTGACATTGAGGAAAGATTATGATTCTCAAGCTCTCCACCAAAAAAAAAAAAAACACATAAAGAATAGAAGAACATTCCCCAAATAGGCAGTATTCAGATCACAGAGAAATATAGTAATAAAACTCCAAAATGTCAATTTAAAGAAAAAAAATTCTGTCAGTTAATGGAAAGCTCTTCATTTACTGAAGGTAATCTGTTTGAATCATACATGACTACTCTTTATCCATGAAAAACTGAAGAAGAGATTTGAGTATGATATTCCAAAAAGCAGAAGGGATTAGACTATACTCCCCAAATAATATATTCTGCAAAGCTGAGGGTAATTATTGTGTGTGTGTTTGTATGCATGTCTAGATTTGTGATTTCACCATTGCGAGGAATTTCTGGAGACAAAAATGCACTCTACCAATGCAAAGTAGAAGTTTTGTGTCAGGGAGCTTTCATTTTTCAATCATCAATGAAAAAAAGATGAAATTTTTAGCAAAAGGGAGCGATATGATTATCTTTTATCAAAAGAAAAGAAAGTCGAACACAGAAAAGAGAATTAAGTATAGCTAACTAAAAATAAATAAATAAAAAGATAAATAAATAAAGCAACAAAATCAATAATCTCCTGCTTCCAGGGTAGAAAGTTATCACCACCACCCCATTTAGTAATTTTATCCTTTTTGTAAAACATAACAGTTATTTCCCAAAATACACTCATCGGAATTTTGTGACAAAGAGCAAACTCCCAACAAAAAAGGCATCTCAAAATATATTTAATATTCTTCATTAGAGATACCACATGTCTCTATACAATGCCCTGGGAGGTATCAGACTCCCTCTCACTCAAAGTCTTAAAGTAAAGGTTGGATGATTATTTGTGGGGATGTTGTAAGAGAGGAGTTCTCTTCTGGTACAAGTTGGAGTGAATGCCTTTTAAGGTCTTGGCTAAAGCTGAGATTCTATGAAATCTGCCTAAAAACAATACAAACAAACAAAAAAAGCCAGACATTATGCATTCCAAAGCCAAATACAAATGGATTTAGTATAATCCAGTCTTTGGGATTAGCTATCCTCCTATCTATTAGAGTAGTAATCCTAAATTTAACCATTTTGCATTAAATGTGGAAAACTGAAAGCCTGGGGAATTTAAGTGATTTGTTGAACAATGGAAATCTATCATTTAGGAAGAGAATCCAGAAGCGACAAACCTCTGCTCAAACAATCGAACATTTCATTGACTTCTAGATTGTTTCCATTCCTCTAATGTCATAGAAAATAGGAATATTTTCTTTTCTTTCTCTTTACTTCCTTGATCTCTCTTTTCTTCCTTCTGTCTCTCTCTGTATCTATCTGTCTGTCTGTGTCTCTATCTGTCTGTCTCAATACAAATCTCACTTTCTTGACCAGTCTGGAAGTATACCAGTCACTCCAGAACCTGTTCCATTTCTGACCTGAGACATTTAACCCTCCTTAGCAAGACTGGTGTTTCCACCATCTCTTAGCTCCCAAGGGCTCACCAATTTGCTGCTGGACTTAGTGCCGACACTCAATACCCTTTGGCTCTACTGCACCTAAGAACTCGCGAGCTCAATCTATCCACCGGCCTCAACCTTCTCAACAGCAAGAAGTAGGTAGTGTAATGAATAGTGCTGACTATGGAGTCAGGAAAATCTGAGTTTAAATTCTGCCTTAGAAATGTCATTATTATCATCATTAAGGACTATGGATGTATACCACTACAAATGGCAGAAGTATATTTTCAAAGGCTTACACTCCCAGTTACCATTCCCACAATTATGAAGCCTGGGAAATTGATCTGTTGGGCAGAGAGACAGTATTTATTGACAAAAGACCTAATGAGGGCAACGCATGTCCACAAATCTGATGTTGCTTGTAGGCAACAGACAAAAGCAACCGGAGGTGGTATTTGGACAGCCCATTAGACTGTGGCAGGTTGAGCTGTTTGTTTAGAAAGAAGAACAAAACAAATAGCAGTGACTTCACATCAAAGCAGTAGGATTTTCAGGAGCCTGTTTCCCTGTTATGTCCCTACCTTTGTCTCCTAAATCACACAGAAACTTGGAGAATGCCTTGTGAACCAGATTGTTCTGTAAATCACTTCAGTCCTTAGTATACTTAGCACAGCAATAATGGTCAGGAAAGTGATGAGCTCCACAGTCAGTGACCTATGTCTCTGACAACACTGCCTGAATCCCTCCTTATTCTCTCAGGCATGCTTCAGATAACAAGACCCCAATGGCTGCAGAGGTCACAAGACCCTGATGGTCGCTGTTTATGGGACCCTCATTCATCTGGAGCTCTGTCCAACATTGTTCAGTCATTTTAGTTGTGTCCCACTCTGGTAACTCCATTTGGGGTTTTCTTGGGAGAGATACTGGAGCAGTTTGCCATTTTCATTT